GTCGTTAGCGCCTCTACGGGTATAGTGTAGGTACTATTGATTTAATTGCCAAAATGTCAAAATAAAAAAATGCTGGCCCGGTCGGTGTCGGCAAGTAGATACTTACTTGATTTACTTTTAATTTTTGGAAAAATTGTTAAAAATATATCATTTATGATGATAAATAAAACATTCCATTTTAATAAACAATATTTATCAATAGCAATAAAGTATTCATCAAATTAGTCTGCATTTGTTTTGAATATAACGTTATTTTTTGTTCAGTGCATAAAGTGTAAAAACTGATTTTAATGGTGGCCCTAAATAACAAAATCCGTTCGTCGGTGTCTGAGATCTGTGCGGCTATTAAAAAAATTTACCTTAAATTGATAATTTTTTTTTAATTCATATTTTCTTTGTTCTTTGCAAGCTCTTTCTGACAAACTTATTATTGGCTTTCTATCTCTAATCTATAAATTATATAATAAAATTATAATCTATAGACTATACTATAAAGATGAACTACAGTTATTTGTGTGTTTGATCAAATGATATTTAAAAAACAAATTAAATTAACCTAACTTATCAAGATTTTTGTTTTCCTATCACCAATAATCATTGAAAATATCATTTAAAATATTATTTGTTTTTTTTAATTTATTTGTATAATTTCTAAATGTTTTATTATACTGCTCCCAAGAATACTCCGATTTAAGTTTTGAAAAAATATTTGAATTCTTTATAACATTTTTAAGGCATCAGTCATGGCACAATTAATTTTTTTTTTTTAATGAATTCAGCCTAAAAAAGTTTAAAATTGCAATTTTTTATATTGAAATAATTAATTAACTAAAAATAATTTTAAAATTGTGACACAATCAATGCCTTGAAAATGTTATAAAAATTCAAATGTTTTGTCAAAACTTAAAGCAGAGTATTTTTAGGTAAGTTCTGCTCAAAGTAGAAACTAGAAACATACGTTTTTCTACAGAAATAGATCCTATATGCGTTTTAAAAGTTGAAAAAAAATATCAAAATAGATTCTTCTTTCCTATTTTCTATGGTAATGTGTACGTTTCAACATTTTAGTTTAATGTTAAGATTTAGTGAAAAATTGCCTATACAATGCGCCTTAATGTATGCTAGTGTAGAACTCCATGCCCACTTATATTATTTTATTCCAAAGTTTATAGATGAAAATTTCGCGTTGTAGATAAATCAATTTTAATATGCGTTTATATACATATAATTCAATATCGTTGTACGGATAATGTAAGGTTTGTTTTATTTAAACCTCTCTCTCGGATTTAATTAGATATTTGGAAACAGCAAGGCACGCAAGATATAATGGGAAACGAAAAGTAAAGAAGTCAACGGTGTTAGTTTAATACCTTTTTGGTGTGCAAAGCGTGTTAAATCAAGATTGCCGCGAGTCACAGTAAAAGGATATACTGCCAAATGTATGGAAATGGAAATGAAATTGGACTTTGAATAAGATGAAAGGCAAATGGAAGTAGCCTAAAATAAAAGCGCGGAGTGGCTGCTGCTGCACGTTAGATCGGATTAAGAACGCGTATAATATAAGAGCTACGTCTCAATATATTGTGTATAATATTATACTGTTTACTTGCTGCTGGTAAAGTGTGTACATTGGTTACGCTAATGGTAGGACTTTTTTAGTGAGGATTTAATATTATGTTGACTGCGATGCAGGGACCCGTTGTGTGTGTTTTTTTTATACAATTATTACTTTTGTCGAATGTCTATAACGATATTATAGGGTATTATTCGTGACGTCAGCATGAATAAATGGAATTATCTGCGAAACGCATTACCCGCACAGCTCAGATTCAATCGCACAACAAATCACTCAAACGGTAATTTGCTTATTCGAAACACAGCGGAGAGCTAATAAAAAGAAAGAAATTATTTTTATTTGAAAAAGAGTCACTGATAATTGTCAATGTGCAACAGCCTGGTATGGTTATCATACTTAAGCACGCCGGCCGTTGCCGGCCAAAGCACACGCGGCTAGACGATTTATACGGATAACATCTACAAAATACATACTGTCCTACCAGCCCCATTCAAACGCATTAGTTATTCGGTTAGATAGCACAATAATATACAAAGTAGGTAAACGGGTACTGTCATAAATCAATTGGCAATTTTGTTTTGTCGCCATTTTATTACATAATCATGGTATGAATCATAAAAAAACGCAATGGTTTTGGGTTTTTACTATAATTCAAAAAATCTACAATTACCCGACTCGACCCCATATTATGATATTAAAAGTGTACAAGGTAAACGTGGCAAATTTGTTTATGTTTTAATTAATTATATTTATAATTCTGTGGTGCACGGGTAAAAATTTTCATGTCCAAAAATTGCAAAAATGAGGTTGAATATAGTATAAGGGATAAATTGTTTTTATTTTTCTCATTTAAAAGTATTGTACACAACTAGTTACACATTTTATGTTTATTGTACAAGTTATTTAAAATACAAATATTTTTCTCAAGATTAACTCAAAGTCAAAATTTCGTTTTACCAAAATTAGTTATTTTAAACATAAGACATTTTACTCGAACACCACAGATTTATAATAACAGTTATGTTTCCTAGTAAGCATATATAGTAAAAAATAAGTGCTGTGAAAGTGTGCAATTATTGCAACAGTAAAAAATGCACCTCGTCAACAAATTTAGATTGACTGTAATAAAAAAATTGTATAGCAGAAGATATATTTTCAATATTCCTAAATAAAAGTTTTATATAATTTAACAATAGTTATAAATTAAAAAATAGAAATGAGAAAAAAATGTAAGTCAGTGAAAAATGTAATGTGTTTTTTTTAATTAAGACAAAAATACCAAAAAAATAAAAGTTGAAATATTTTAGTGATTTGAAATATTTCATGACATTTTCAAACAACAGATATAGCTGCTGTCATTTTAGATATTTTGTTTGTTTCGCTATTAATATACTTTATAAGTAGAAATTGTATAGGTAGTAGGTACGCATTTTTAGATAAGTATTTTTTTTAATTTTTTTTTTATTGATATAACAAAACAAACATTCCAAGTCATAACCGTGGAATAATAAATTCAAAAGGGTTTCACCGCTTGTACATACCTAAAATGTTTTCTAGTCGATGCATTTAATATAGGTATGGCATACAAGACATATAAGACACCCGACGGCATTGTATCGTTCAGAGTTGGACGACACATCAAAGGCTGGCATAAATTAAAAATGAATTAGAATAGGAATAAATAAAAAAGAAAAAGTACTTTAGTTTAGGGACAATGCAAATAACGTTATAAATAATTTAGCCAGCGCCATTGACGTTAGGATAACGAGTGTATACATTTTTAATGAACCGAATTCGGACCAATAGGTTGATGCACGATGGCACAATAACACGGTTGAACGTTTAATGGAACCGTCATTTTTTATTCATTTAATAGCTCTCGCTATTTGTTGTTCAATAAAACAGCTGTATTTGACCCCCCAAAAAAAAAGAGTTTCAATGTATGTTATTTCAATTCACAAAATTACTCTGTATTTATTACAAAATACAGCATACAGTGCAAACCAGCGTTTAAAGGAAAACTCTTGCATAAACAAACTTCACACACTACATCAATAATTTAATATAACATATAAAATGTTATTTATTTAGTAGTTTTATCAAAGACTGTGTGTGTTGTTTGATGATTTGAAAATCATAGTTTATCCTGAAGGAAAAAAGCACGTTGCCATGATGTATAATAATATTATTACAAATTAAATATTGAACAACCCATTTTAAGGAAAAAACGGAAACTCACTTGTCTTATATGCTAAGTCGAAATATTAGTTTGGCCAAGATAAAAAATAAAAAGTATAAATTCGTCGAAAATAATAGTTAAAGTCATCAACATCTTAACCGGCTGTAATGAAAAAGACATGAAAAGATATATCTTCTAGTAACAGAAAATTCGGCTCATACAACAACAATATTTGGCGGTAATACTATTATTGTTATATTTTCGACTTAACTGGGCAAAAACGTACAAAACTTTTTTCACCTTATATTTTATAAATCAACTATATAGTATTTTTTTTTTGTCATCTCGGTAAGCGGTAAACCATAGACAAACATAAAACTTTTTAATGTGCAATACCACCTACATACATATTATACATGTATACACAAGGGAAAAGGTAGAAAAACATCCCTACCCACAACTATTCGCACACCCACGTCGACTCGCATAGAGCATTTGCAGGAATCGGTCAACCTCCAAGACTTTGGAAACTTTTGCAATGCTCCAAACCCGGTTTATAATTGAACTCACTCTATCTATATATTGGTGCAAGTTTTGATTAAACGCCGAAAGACTTTTTGTTTCCTCCGAGAACAGTACGTTTCGATGCGTTGTTGGATTTTTTTTTTTAGTTTACCGTCTGTAAAATCATTGAGCTTGTCCGTCGGTTTCTTTGCCAAGGGTTGTTTAGCGGTTAAGTTTTTAAACGAGACGTCTGCCAAAGATTCGGCGAAGCGCAAACACGAGTGCTTAAAACAAAATAAATAAAAAAGTAGAGTGCAAACGCATAAAAAAACAAAACGATTCATTGCAGATTTTAAAACTGTATAATACCTCTGTGTAGTGTTTTTAACGAGCTACCAACAAGTAGTATAATCAGTGTAATAATAATAATAATAATATCAAAACTATAATATTAGTTTAGGCTATAGCATATTAATTGTTTAAATCGTATTGTTCGCGCTAATATCAACGATAAGTCGATGGAATTGGCTTGTATTTATGTGTTGGCTACAATTGCTAAGAAAATATACATATATATATATATATATTATCAGAACTGTTTTGGCAGACTATCAACGATAGTCAAAATTGATATATTGTGTGGAGCGATCGACGCGAAAGTAAAAAAACTACATTTATAGATATATTTTATCCGTACAAAATTGTCGTTTGTGAAAATTAACATAGCCAATCATTGGTGAAATGTCTCAAGAAGATAAAACCAAAGACACGTTCGTGTAAGTTGACTGTACCTACATAATTGTTATTGTTGTTTATTAGTTCATCGAATAATAAATTGTGAACGTACTCAACGGGGCACTATGACTTGGACAATTTTCAAAAAAACACAAACCATACCATTTGGTAAAGACTATAGTGACCACCAAGGTTTGTATTGTATTTTATTTCAGACCCACTCCCCGTTCGGGCGGCATATTGAAAATCAAAAAGGATGTCAGGGACAAAAAGAACAAGGTGCTTACGTTCAACCAATACCAGACCATACTGAACCGCGTGGAAGACATGGAAAAAGACAAGTATCGAATGGAAAAGACCATTGCCAAAAATCCGCCTTTGCCCACGATCACGCCCATTAGGAACTTGAACTTGCCAAAGATATCGCAAGAATCTCTGTTCGACAAATGCGTGGTGGAAAACGAAGACAACGGTAAGTCATGCCAACGCATACACAGGGCGGCATTAGATATATCTTTAAGTACGGTTTTCAAATCTCAAATAGCAGTTACCGCCGTAACAGGTTAGGCGCCCAATGGTTTGTGGCTAACAAATTTGTTAAGAAAGGTTTTATTTACAATACATTTTTTGGATAATTGTCGATAATGCAAGCAGCTGTTTGAGTCCTTTTTTATTAAAAAAACTAAGTTTTATCTGATTTTTCGGTAAAGCTGTTATAGGAATTATAGTAGAGATTGCGACGGTATGTAAAAAACAAATTAAAAATGTCAACGAAGAATTAATAACGTTTACTATACTATAATAAATAAACACTATTATTTTTACTTAAAATTAGTTTTTTATGAAAAAGTGTTATAAACCCCTTGTCAAGTGGTATTTATGGCGGAAAGTGCTATTCTTGACAAAAACATTTCGGGAAAATTATTAAGCGTTTTTATTTGTATACCGTTCCGCACTAGTCGTTGGTCGATTTAAATTAAAAATTAGCTAAACTTATCAAGTTCAAGAAGTTAATATAAAAAAAAATTACTATTTTAAATAAACGAATTTGAAAGCGGCAACGACCAAGTATTAAGGGGGGGGGGGGGTAGAGTTAATTCGTGCAAAAAACGGTGAATTTTTGTGAATTTTTTTTGACGACACAGTTAAAATCGATTTATTAAAACTAATGGTACATTAAAGTATAACATTCGAAGAATATTGTGTAATATTTTCATGTAGAAATATTACAAAATACGGCAATGGCAGCAATTATTCGGAAGCGCCTCGGAAAAAAGTAGAATTGCGGTGTCCCTCATAACTCGATGCTGGATCATCCGAAATTAAAAAAACCAAGTTCTTTCGTTAGATAATTGCTTTTCCCAGGTAATGCCGGGAGGGTTTTTTGAAATTTCAATTTTTCACTTTTTGGGAACACTTTGAAGGGAAAAACGCGATTTTTTGCGAAAAAAATCGGCTAATTTGTTATTGTAAAATAAAAAATATTAACAAATTTGAAAAAAAATCTCCAGCGTTACCTCGTAAGTTATGTACAGAAATAGTGTTCAAAATTTCAAAAGGATCGGTTTATTATTTTTGAAGTTATGAGGGTCACCGACTTTGAAAACGTGAGTTGTGGGGAAAACGCTTTAAAGTTAACAATAGTACGCTCGGGCCGGGCAACTCATAACGTCGTCAATTTTGTTCCGATCGACTTGAAATTTTGACACAATATTCTTGAGGTATTATGCATTCAGTTAACAAAAAAAAAATTTAATACCATACCCCCCCCCCATAAAACAATTAAATCATAAAAAAAACAATAGGTTATGCTCGAGTAGATAGGTAACATCCGAAAGAACTTAAACTCTAAGTCCAACTCTAGTCGTTTCAACATGAGCTGTGACATTTGACTGTATCCCATCGACAACTCATCGCCATGATAATACAAGACTTATATTTATGTGTCTTATAATTATTCGGAAGTGTTTAAATTGCCAAATAAATAATAGTATTCAAAGCTCATCTAGGCTAGACACTGCACAATTTTTCTGGTAGCTAACTTGTAAATCAGTTGAACGGTTAGTCCGTGTCGATCGAAACTGTGACCTGGTTGGACTGGGTGAGTTATCGATTACCTATAGCTGTTAGGTTAGCTGGTTAGGTTAGGTAGGTACTACCTAACCGACTTTACTGACTTCACTTGACTTTGAACAGGGGAAACGCAGTGCGAGTACGAACGGTGGTTAGAGGAAACGGCGCCGGCCAAGAACGTCAACCTGGTGGACAACTTGGAAGAGGCGATCAACTTCATTGTCTCGTTAGCGTCCAACCCGAGTGCGGATGTTAAGGACTTTGACGAGATGCAAGCCATCACGGTGGTGCAGTTCCTTAGGACAATCAAATCGCCAGCCGGCCAATACGAACCGAACAACCGGCGACTGATGGAGTACATCGACAGGAAGGGCGAGGAATTCAATAGCAAATGACAACACTCCCAGCCGGTTGCCACGCCAAATTAATATTGAATACCAATTATACCACTATAGCGACGGTGTTAATTAGATGTAAATAAAATCAAATATTTGTCAACTCTAGTAGTGCCAAACGAACCTAAATAATTATTCAATACATTAGTGCCATTACTGTAAAGATGAATGATATTATAATATGTAAGATGAATACATATAATTATGATGATAATTGACGGCGGTCGTTTATCTAACGTATCCTACTTGTAACGTTATGTTTTATTAGGTCGGTTAAAAGCGATTGAGTAAAATATGTTAATATGGTCAATTTTTATACATTGCGTTATGTACTGATTAGACGTAGAATTTATAGTGATTTTTTCCAGCTGAATTCATGTTGTTAGGCATTATGTACCTAATTTCCAAACCAGTAATTAAAATAAAGTGTTCCTGTTTTTTTTTTAATGCATTAATACTGCGTGTTAATTATGTATGCACTAATTTAAAAATGTCTCAAAATATGTATTACCTATCTAATTATTAAGCCGACTGGGATATTCATTGGGCATAATTATTTTCTTGAACGGCAAAAAATACTAAATTGCTCTTCAAAAAGGAATATAATTTTAACTGCTGATAAAGTGTCATAATGTTTTTAATAAAATTCTTATTAAACAATTTGTAATAAACGAGTATAATTTTTGTTTATTGCTCAATAAACGGCGATTGTTGTTTGGTGAGTCGAATCATAATTGTAATATATTTTATCGATAAAGTAAAGGCCAACAAGAGTAAATTCTCTACTCTAGATTACACTAGTCTGACATGACTAAAATACAAATAAAATAAGATTGTAAACAGCAGTTAAATTGAAAAGTTTTAAGATTATTACACAGTTATTGAACTTAGAGAAACATAATACAAAATAGATAAAAATATTGTGACAGGATTTATTCAGAATAAATTATTATGTACATTTACATATTCATGTGTATAACTTTTTATCATTTCTTTTTCTTTGTACTGAAAAGTTTTGTTTGAAACTTTTCAAATATCATGAAAAGGTGTGTTTCGTCGACCTTCTTGGAGTCTTTTCGAATTTTACGGAAAGTTTAACTTTTCAATTTGGTAAGTTTTAACGATTACATGAAATATATACCGTATACTTTTTTGGACCCTCACTGTCAATATGCGGACCCCAACAACTGTTTATTACAGTACCTATATGGATTAGTAGTTAAATAGTCCAGAGGATTTTAAGCGTAATAGCACGTTAAGATTTTAGATAAATTCGCCCACAGGAGGTAAGGAGGTCTAAACTTGTAACCTTAATATTCTCCTCCGTGCTCTCCCAAACGGGGAACTAACGTTGAAATAATGCTGTGAGAATTGGCCTTTATTTGGTTAAATAAAACAAAAGAAGAACGTTAAACGTTGCGCGCCTTTTGTACAATAATAATACATTTTGAAAAAGGACTGAATTCGGTGTTGTCTTACGGCCGTGTCTCGTTTGGTCGGATTATAATTTATACAAATATTTACAGGCCCGAATTGAATAGAAAAAAAAAAAAGAATTCTATTCGATTAGGGTAAGTAAGCAGTCCCGGCCACGCTCTGTAGGTGACAGCAAATATGTACACAAAACAAGCGGTTTGTATGATGTTCGACACGCTGTACGCTTACAGCAGCTCTAATCGAATCCAACCGACTGAAATAAAATACTATACAGAACACCCCTCGACGGTGTTAAGCGGTAATGTTACCGTTTGTTCCAATTCGTTTTCAACCCCCCCAAAAAGACCTCATACGAACAAACTATAGGAGTGTGCGATTAACGACCAACTGCGAATTGAATAATGTGTTTGACTAGGAAAACGAATTTTGAATAATTGATTTTTTTTTTTGGATACTTGTAATACAATTCGGTTATTCATGAGCAATTCTTTGAACTGGCTAAATGAATAATAAACGAACTCGTGTATATCATTATTGAATAGTTTATGAAATAAATAACCAATCGCTATATTCCAAGTACATAGTATTATTATTTGGTAGTAGTGGTTTGTTGTTTAAAATGGACGAGACTGTGTTGACTACAGAAGGTATAATTTGAATTTATTATTTTTATTGAAATACACGATTTGGTGGGTATGCCATTAACTGCGTGCCTATGACATGTAAAAAAAAATGAGTACTTAAAATTTATCGGACGTCTCAACAAAGCGGCCGAGTCGAATAGTAAGGTAATAGTAATACATTTAAATAAAGCGGCAAATACTTTTAGCGCCTCTTAGAGGCATATTACATAAGTGTATCATATTAAAGTATGTAATTTCCATACAAAACACAAAATATATAACACAATTTGTTGATAAATTGTTCAAAGTTTGAATACAACCGCACACCCCTAGAATAAACATAAGATAATAACAATATAATAATATGTTCACAAGATCAACATTTTTTTTAAAACGCTTTTCGTCAATATTACAGTGGTCAAGAATCCGAGCATCTTCTGAGATTTACGTTGAAACCATATTAAAATGGGTTATATTAAAACATACATAAAATGTTCATGAAACGGAATTTTGATATTTTTATGTAAACAAATTGTTATGTAGTATGAACAAATTGACAAATTTTAATATATTTAATTACAAGAAACAGATTTTTTATTAATAAAAATCGGCCTCTTACATAACATAGTAAAGTAGCACCAAATTCAGACCTTAAGTAGTCTCACATTTTGTATAGCTTTTCGATGTAGAAATCCACCAAAAATGTAGTTTACTCATTGAAAAAATTCTACAAGTTAAAAATAATACCTTGAAGTTTATACAAATCAATCTGTAAAATAAATCGACTAGGTCGAACTGTATTGAAACCCTTTTTTCTTAAATATCGCCCATATAAAACTCCTTAAAACCCGTCCGCTTATAATCCCGTTGAGTGGGAATTTTTTTTAGTGAACAAAAATGTTCACGTCTTACAACAATGTTATTGCGGGGGCTGAATTTAAACAAACACCATCACCTAAATATATGGTAATTAAATTATTGTACCCGAATTTTTTATTCGGTTGTATACATATTATTAAATTTTATTTCTGGAAATTAAATATTATACGATAAATTTATACTATGATATCGTATAATATTTAGTGTGTTAAATTTCATATGAAAAACATAATATTCAATAACGCTTACAGTAGCTGTGTGTCTTTTTACAAAATAAAACAACGTACAGTAATAATTAAACATTGGACAGTATACTATAACGGAATATACAACATTACTTGACTACAATCATTTTTTTTTTTTCAATTCAATTAAATACAGGGGCTGTAATAAAAGTAATATTACAGTAGTCTATCACTCGACTTTGATCTAGAGCGGTCTAGCATAATAGCCGTTAAGGCGACAAGATAACGGCCGGTTTCTTATGTGTAAAAGAATATCTACTGACTGTTTCTGTTACTTACCTCGTCGTCGTCGTCGTCGGCTGAGGGTGCAGGAAATCCGTGAACCGTTTCAGCTTGGAACCGTCGGAGACTGATGCGTCGGAGGTACTCGAAGGGGCCCAAGTGCTGGGCGAACATAAGAGCACTTAGTACGCAAGTCGACGGGCCGGTGAAGCGTCCAATGGGTTCGCAGAGATTGCATTAGGTGTCGCCTCCAATGCGTTTCGGTTTGTCACGCAAGTATCCCTAACCGTTTCCCCCATGTCGTACCTACTTGATGTTGTTTTGGAAATCTAAAAAAAAAAAAAAAAAAATGAACCTCTTTTGAAAATGTTCGACTCGAAATTACAGTCAAATTGATACCGAAAATTTACACGGAATATTCTTAAGATTATAACCGCTGTCGTCACGAGGGGTGGACGTTTTTTTTTCTTTGTATTTATTATTAGTCCTGAAAATTAGGCTGAAGGCGGTACATCATCTAAACGGCGAGAATTGACAGTCAACATGTATTTGAATATATTTGCATTGTATTATGCAATGTACCGGTTTTTTTTTTATAATTTATTCTATCATCGTTTTAAACTTAATGGGACGACACACCTGCTGGCTTTAAGGAGTTTCCTTTGGGGAACAAAAAAAAAAAAAAAACGTTATAAAAATTTATTGACTTTAAGTAAAAATGTTTGTGTGATGCCACTCAAAAATATCGTTTGAATTTTACTATCCATACAATTGGACAGAACAAATATGTCATCGGACTTCCAATAAAGTACATAACGGTCTTAGTAAAAATAAATACAAAACTTAGTATCTACTTTGTGTTACCAGAGCCTTTTTGATTATGACAATATTGAATATTATAATTGCAATTTAATTGAAATGTATACATTTTTTTTAATTATCCGTTTTGATAGCACTAAGTATACTTTTTTTATATGTAGTCCTTTGATTATCCATGTAAACTATATATACTTAAAACTATTTCAAGTGTTTAGAGCTGTTTTTATAAGATTTTACACAAACTATACAAATATTCAAATATATTTTTTATAAAGTAACAACGGAATGATTTTCTTGTTTTAACCGTTATTATTATTGTGCTATTTAATAATGTTATATACAATTATTTTTGTTCTAATATTATTTTATGTCTAATGTTAGATAATACAAAACTTTATAGGTTCTTAAACCCGCATAAGAGCTCTGCGATTGGTCTCAGTACGTCTAAAAGCTATTTAAAAAAAAAAATTGTTCGTGTAATTTCTTTCACTATTTTTAAATGTAACAATAAGACAACAAAAAATGAGATTAAAAAAAACAGGTATTGAAAATATGGGAGACGCTTTAGTTCATGTTATATTTTAGAACATTAAAATTGTTGTCATCTTATATTTTTCCAAGCTCTTTGAACTTTTAAAACTGAAATGATAACGTATATTGTATTAAATGGACTTATTAAATTAAAAATGCATATCTGAAAATGTTGAATGGCCGATAATCAGTTTCGGACAAACACTTTTAAAGCTAACAAAATTTAAAGTTATAATAATTATCC